GGACGTTAGTTGCACTGAGCCATTTGTAGTGCTTTCTAATTTAATTGTTTATTTCTTGTATTATATATTTATCTGTATATGATTTAACAGTTCATTTCTTGTTATATATCTAATTACCTTTATAAATAAATATATTAAATTATCAGCAATTTGGTTTTATCTCTCTGGAGAACCCTGTCTAACACAGAGACATATGGGTTGACCCAGTGGCTGGGGCAGCGAGGTCAAGACCAGCAAGTGTTTGGTTCTGTTGTGCACAGAACCGGCTTGACGGCACCCCACAACCACAAAGCGCATTAGCGAAGGATCTCCTCATGAACCCAAAATACAATTCCATCTTCCATAAAGATGAAATTCTCTTTCCCCGTAGACTTCGCAAAACTGACAGGCTAGAGGAATTCTGTTGGAAAGTTTCTGAGTCTGACTGATTTGGCAGGGAGAAAACCATGAAGACTACGGCCTTCTCCTAGTTTGCAGTGATTTACACAAACGCAATACATCTTTAAGCATAGTGTGTCAGTCTGGGTTGACAAGAGAAACAAATTCATTCACGCTCATGTGTGTGTAAGATAGAACACTATATCAAGAACTAATTTATGCATCAATAAGACATCCCAGCCCAGTCCGGATCAAGTCTGTAAGTCTGACATTAGCCCATCTGTCTGATACCAGTCTATAAATTCCTCTTCAGATTCACACAGCACGTGCAATGATTCTGGATGCAGGAAGATCACAAGCCAGTGGGAGGAAAGTCTTGTGGATCCGGTGGCAGTGGAAGCATCTCCAGGGCTCTGGCTGTCATCAGCGTGGCTCCATGTGGCTTGTCCACAGGAAGGTGTCATAGAGAGAGTGTGTGTGCCTCCCATTTCCAGGGAGGAAGACAGGAGTTCCCAGAATCCTCAGGAGAAGGCCATGCCCTACCCACCTACCTAGAGGCCTCATTGGCTATGGCCTGACTGACAGGATAGGCTCCACCCCTTAGATCAAGTTGACAGGAGATGATGTAACTGCCACACGTGGGATTCTGAGCCAGGCCATATTGGTGATCGCTTAGCATCAACTTTCTGATCTAAGGAGAACTACAACCTGAGCCATGCCTCCTAACCTTGATGGGCAGGTCTGTCTATGGAAATGCTGCCTTATGATCAATGACAAGGCGGTGGTCTCAAAATGAAGCACAGTTGGCCAAGAAAAGCAACACCCTTCATCCCCAACAGCAGGCCAATGGCTTCTGCAGACTCCCCGAGTGCTGAACCTCCTGGGGCAGCACTCGGCTTCAAGTGAAAGACAATTCACTGCAAGGGCAAGGGGGCAAGACTCAGGGTGACTCCAGTCATGACTTCCTTTCCCAACTTACGCTCTCCAGGCGATGTCTTCGATCAAACACGCCGTGGGAACCAGAAACAATCCCAGCCAGAAGTGCGCGGAGCTCAGGACCATGGTGGCCTGCAAGAGACAGAAGGGCACTTGTCTTAATATTCAATTGTTTTCTTTCCTTTTTAAACGACACACCTGGGACCTCCTTCCATCATTCCTAAGGGATGAGCTTTTGATGTTCCTGGAATCCTTTTATTCATCCATCCATCCATCGCCCTTCCCTTGCTCATTTCTTCTCTTAACCAGGATTCCTGTCAGAATCATTTGGTGCAACAGTGATCCTCACCACCCAGAAGAGGAAGTCCTTACCTTCAAGTTCAAAATTGTGTGGCGTACTCTCCATTGTACGGTAACTCTACGAGGCAGTAACATACGAGGCTTTCTAGGGGGCTTCAGAGGAAAGGTAGGCAGAGGGGAGGGCTTGGTTGAGAAGGTATGGGACATGAGAAATACCTGGAAAGACATACCAAGTCTCCACAGACAGAGAGGCAGACCAGCAGGGAATTAGGAGTTGTGGGGTAAGTGCAGGGAAGAACATCCCCCCTAAGACTCTAGCCTGTTCCTGGCAGATGAGCCAGGGATGGTGGGGGCAGATAGGGAGGACTATAGGGAACTCAGGAGGGGGACCAAGTTAGATGTCTGTTTGGGGGGACCAAAAAGATAAGGCAAAAGCAATGATAACAAGGAGTTTGCTCTGGACAGCAGATATGGAGTCAGATGCTGATTTTAAACAAAGGAGGCCTCGTGATGCAGAAGGTCAAACATTGGGTTTCTAACCACAAGGTTGATGGTTCAAACTCATCACCTGCTCCTTGGGAGGAAGATGAGGCTGCCTGCTTCTGTAAAGATTCAGAGTCTCAGAAACCCTGTGGGTCAGTTGTCCTCAGGCCTTGAGGATAGCTATGAGTTGGGGCAGTCTTGATGGCAGTGGATTTGGGTTGGCTTCAAGAAGGCAAAACTCACTAGTGTTGAGTCCATTCTGACTCCTAGCCTCTCTGCAGGACAGAACAGAACTGCTCCAAAGGGATTCTGAGGCTGGTGATGAGCGCTAAGCCATACACACGCACGCGATGGTCTTTCTAATTGTGCCGCATGCATGTGAAAGCTGGGCACTGAATAAGAGAGCCCATAGAAGAGTGGGTGCATTTGAACTGTGGTGCTGGAGAAGAACATTGAAGATGTCATGGATTGCTAAAAGGACAACCAGCTCTTTCTTGGAAGAAGTACGGTCAGAGTGTTCCTTAGAGGCTAGGATGGCAAGACTTCATCCTACATATTTTGGTCATTTTGTTGGGAGAGATCAGTCCCTAGAGAAAGCTATCACACTAGGTAAAGTGGAGGGCAGGCAAAATAGAGGAAGTCCCTCCACAAGATGGGTCGACACCACCATGGTTGCATCAGCGGGCTCAGGCACAGGACCGATTGTGAGGATGACGAAAGACAAACCGGGCAGTGTTTTGTTCTGTCGTGCACAGGGTCGCTATGGTCGGAACCAACTGGGTGGCACCTAACAACAAGAACAACACATGAATATCAAGATACATCAAATATATGTCTAGTTCCATCTCAGCATTTCCTTGTCTTCGAACCAAGTCACTTCAGAACTTAAACAGTGGAAGCGGCCCAGGTCCTGATCAACTTGAGAGAACCGACTCCTTCAGCCTCTGAGTCCTAAACCCACTGCCATCCAGTCGACTTTGACTCCTTGAGACCCTAGACAGTGTATGAACGGAGGACTCCTGGTGGCAGAGGGGTTAAGCATTGGGCTGCTAACTGCAAGGTCAGCGGTTCAAAAGCACCAGTAGCTTCAAGGGCGGAAGACGAAGCGCTCTACTCTAGCCAAGAGTTACAGTTGGGAACCCACAAGGGTAGTTAGTTCTACCCTGCCCTGCGGGGTGACTACGAATCAGAACCCACTCGATGGCGGTGAGTTTGGGTTTGTTTTGTTCCTCACAGGAGCAGACAGCCTCCCTGATCTACCTCGGAGCAGCTGGTGAGTTTACTCTCAAAGTCTCTTCTTGGAGGCAGCCGTGGTTCAGTGGGTTAAGCATTAGACATCTAATTGGCAAGGTTGGCAGTTCAAGCACACCAGACACTCCTCAGGAGAAAGATGAGGCTGTTTGCTTCTCTACAGACTTACCCTCTTGGCACCCTGAGGCACAGTTCTATTCTGTCCTAAAGGCTTGCTCTGTGAGCCCGAATGAACACCATGGCCAGGGAGATTTTGTGGCAGACATTTCAAGCACCACATAAGTAACTCGGGCATGAGTCGTGGACGATGGGCGTCCTGTGTCTGTCAGGGGAGCCTGGTGTGCTGCCCAGAGGCTGAGCAGGTTCAGTGGCGCTTCCAGACTAAGACAGACTAGGGAGCAAGCACTGGTGACCTGTGGGTCACAACTGTCCGGCGGCGCCGCTGGGCACCACAGGGTGGCATGCACTGGGGCCAGCCTGACAGCAGCTACCTGCAAAACCTGGAGAAGCTTTTTGGCCATCTATGCTGGCTCTCTCTTCTTTCTTTCTTTTTTCCCAGGAAGCATTGATTACGACGATGAAACAGAAGTTCCCCTTACCCAGAGACGCATGATGGAGGACTTAGAGTCCAGCCTCCCGTCTGTAGACAGCTTACCTTCACAGTTAATAGGAATCCCAGGAGCCAGACCTGAGCCCTGGTGGCCCCCACGGTGAAGCACTTGCAGGCAAATGTTAAAGGCTGGCCGTTCGAATTCACCTATAGGCTCTTAGGGAAAGAGCGCTAGAGACCGGGCCCTGTAAAGATGGTGGTCTAAACCTCCCTACGTGACATTTCTACTTCTGTCACCAGGTGGGGTCACTATAGAGGAGCAGATCTACAGAGCATTCTCCCCCGGGTGGGGAGTTCCGGGTGGATTTGAACTGCCAACGTTGAGGCTAGCAGCAAACCCTTCCTGACAACACCACCTGGGCTCTTCCAAAAAACCCCGAACTCCCTGCCATTCAGTCCGTGCCACCCCCGGTGGGTTTCCCAGAGTGTAACTGTTTACTGGAGCAGAGAGCCCAGATTTCCTCCCGAGAGGCTGCTGGTGGTTTCAAATTGTCCACTTTGAGACTGCTGCCCAACCCATGAGTAGTAGGACTATACTATCCGGACCCCTCGCCCGGCCTCTTCACGGGGACCAGGAATCGGGAACTCTGGGCTACAGCAACAGCTTTTGTTGTTTAAATTTAGCTCAACTGTTCTTGCTCTCTTCGCATAACAAAGAACCATTTACTGAGCCAGGTTAGGTGACCAATGGTATTGAAGTACTCGCCTCCCGGCCCTCCCCCTCAGAGAGGAGGAGGCTTCAAAAGTTTGTGGATAAATCCCATGATCTTTTCAGGCCATTTTCACATGACCCTTTGGAAGCCCCTCATACCAGTGAGTGGTTGGGAAATACCCCTGTGGCGTGCTAGCGGCCCCTTTTGGATGAACACTCCCCTCAGTTAATAGGCTTTGAGCTGTTGGTGTTGCCACTTGGTTCTAATTCACAGCGACCCCACTTGGTTCTAATTCATAGCGACCCCACTTGGTTCTAATTCATAGCGACCCCACTTGGTTCTAATTCATAGCGACCCCACTTGGTTCTAATTCACAGCGACCCCACTTGGTTCTAATTCACAGCGACCCCACTTGGTTCTAATTCATAGCGACCCCACGCACAACAGAAGGAAACCCTGCCCAGCCCAGCTGCCCAGTTGTTCTTGTGTTTGAGCCCGTACACACAGCGGCTGAGTTGATCCATCTTGTCGAACGCCTGCCTCTTTTCCCCGCCCCTCTGCTTTGCCAAAAGTAGGCTGTTCCTCTCCAGGGACTGGTCTCTCCTGACAACATAGCCAAAGTATGTGAGACACAGTCTCCCCATCCTTGCCGCTATGGAGCCTGCTGCCTGTACTCCCTCCAAACTAGATTTGTTGGCCTTTGGTTAGCAGCCAGTGACTGTTAGCCACTTAGATGCTAAATGCACAGGATCACCCCCACTCCCACCCCTGGTGGCAAAATCAGACGCACTTTGCATTTGAGAAAACCTGGGGCTCAGGTCGGGGAAGCTGTCAAAGGACAGGGCCCTGGTGAGAGTCCCGGCCACCCATAGCCGGCAATGTAAATACCAACCCACTAGCTGACCTTCCAGCACCTGGCCAAGAAGGGATAGGGCCTCCCGCGCAAACAGCTACCACGCATGCAGTCTCCCCAGCACCTGCAGCACTTCATCAGATGGGCTAGACCACCCAGCCGCCTATGTGTCATGCCTACAAACTCCGTCCCACTCAAAACAAGAGATAGGACACACAACCTCTGAGGCAGTGGACTTCATTAACATCTATTCTTTTTGGCCAACAAAGCAAAAGGTCCCCTCATGCCTGGATGTTGCTATTCGGAAAGCTCCAAAGGGAGCCCTTCACTCACCCAACAGCCACAGCAAGGGACTTGGTGTGCTCTTAGCAAGCCCACTGGAGATAGTACACAGTGGGCGGAGGAAATAATGGCTGGGAACATTAAACTGACCGAGGAGGCAGGCCGTACGTGGAGAGACCACAGGTTAAGAAACATCTGTGGGCTGCAGCGCCACCACCCTTCCTCCCATGGTTCGTCCTGGCTGCACTTCTTTCAAGACGGATTTGGTTGTTCATCTGTGCGTCCACGGGACTTCCAGTGGTCGTCACCAGCACCACCTTTCAAACGCATCGACTCTTCTCCTGCCTTCCTTATCCAAGGTCCAACTTTCCCATGCAGATGAGGTGATGGAAAATACCCTGGTTGGGGTCAGGCACACCTTAGTCCTCAGAGTGACAGCCTTGTTCTTCAACACGTTCAAGAGATCTTGTGCAGCAGGTTTACCCAATGGAATGCGCTGTTGCTTTCTGGACTGCTGCTTCTGTGAGCATTGATTGTGGATCCAAGCAAGATGAAAATCCTCGACAACTTTGGTATGTTCTCCACGGATCGTGAGATGTTACCTATTGTGAGGATTGGGGTTTTCCTTACACAGAGTTGCAAACCATCCTGAAGGCTGTGACCCTTGATCTTCATCAGCAAGTGCTTCAAGTCGTCTAGC